AACAAAAAAGAAAAACCATAATTTCCTTTTTTCTAGATAATCCCTATTGTCATAATTTCTCCTCTATGACACAAAATTTCTCACTGCATATTATTATAGTAACCTTGAAAAATACAAGAAAATTTTTTTAAAAAAGAAAAAAACCCACTCAATATTTCTATCCTTCGATATATGTATCATTCAAATACACCCCACTGTATTTCAACATTTTTTCTTGAATCCCTGCTTCTGACTCTCCTTCAAGATAAAGAGCCCACGACACCATTGCTTCTCAAACAACAGGTCATGATCCATTAGGATTAATGAGTTGTGAATGAACTTAATGGGATGGGATTGGCATTAAAATAAATAAGCAAAATTCTAAAGGAAAAAGAAATCCTAAGAGCATACCACATATAGTGACATAAATACAGCTTCCTGATGTTTTAGTTACGTGTATATATGTACATAGGTACACGTACACACAGACACAGACACTTACGTGTGTACTGGGTACAATGTAAAGCTTTTCTTCTCAGGGTCACCAAAGTTTGAAACAAAACCCCCTAATACATAAACTCGATGAGAGCAAGGGTCAAATTTTTTTGCTCCCCACTATACCCTCTGGGCCTACTACAGTGCTTGGTACATAATGGGAACTCAAGAGACGGAAGTATTTGCTATTGAATCAGGTAATACCGTCAGGAGAGCAGCTGACTGTGAAAAAAAAAACTGAAAAAATTAACTGTTTTGGGGCACCTGGGTGGCTCAGTCGGTTAAGTGTCCGACTTTGGCTCAGGTCATGATCTCACCATTCATGGGTTTGAGCCCCAAGTTGGGCTCTGTGCTGAACCTGCTTCAGATTCTGTGCCTCCCTCTCTCTCTTCCCCTCCCCTGCTCGCACACCGTCTCTCTGTCAAAAATAAATAAACGTCAAAATTTTTTAAAAAATTAACTTTTTCGGGGCGCCTGGGTGGCGCAGTCGGTTAAGCTGGCCCCGATTTCAGCCAGGTCAATGCATCTCACGGTCCTGGGAGCGGTTCGAGTCTCCGCTGGCCAGGTTTGGCTGATGGTTCGAGCCTGAGCCTGTTTCCCGACTTTGTGTCTCCTTCTCTTCTCTGCCCCTCCCCCGTTCATGCTCTGTCTCTGTCTGTCCCATAAATAAATAAAAACGTTGAAAAAAAAATTTAAAAAAAAAATTAACTTTTTCAAGAACAAGTAGGAGTTTTTAAGAAAAAAGAAAAAATATTTCTGGAATTCTCAGTAAATTATCCCAAGTCCTAAACTGAGTTTATTCCTAGAATTCCCAACATAGTTTGAATCCCTAAACAACACTGTACATTTAAAAAAACAAGGACCGGGCCTCCTGGGTGGCTCGGTTGGTTACGTGTCAAGACTTCAGCCCAAATCATGATTTCATGGCTCATGGTTTCGAGCCCTGTGTCAGGTTCTGTGCTGACAGCTCGGAGCCTGGAGCCTGCTTCTGATTGTCTCCCTCTTTCTGTCTCTCCTTCACTTGCACTCTCTCTGTCTCAAAAATAAATAAACGTTAAAAAAGGACCAGGGCGCCTGGGTGGCTCAGTTGGATAAGCACCCGACTCCTGATTTTAGCTCAGGTCACAATCTCACGGTTTGTGTGAGTTCAAGCCCCAAGTCAGGCTCTGCACGGACAGTGCTGAACCTGCTTGGGATTCTCTCTGCCCCTCCCCCGCTTGCTAGCTCGCTCGCTCTCTCTCTCTCTCTCTCAAAATAAATAAAAATAAACTTTA